ATCTACTATAATTTCATAATACTGGCTGCCAAGCAAAAACACTAGTTTCATGAACCACAACTCTTTAAATTTCCTTTTGAGACTGCATATTAGAAATAATAATAATAGCAGTTAACTTACAGCACATCTACTATGTGCCAGGCACTGTTTGATATGCTCTATACATATTAACTTGTTTAATATAGAAATGTCTATGGGATATATATATTATTATTATTATCCCCAATTTAAAGATGAGGAAACTAAGGCAGAGTTCCTTGCCAAAGGACATGAGACTAGTAAGAAGAGAAACCAGAGATTTAAATCCAAACATTCTGCTCAGTATCAGTGCTTTTAACCTTCATGATCACCTGGGCATTTAGACACTATTGAAAAATTCTGTAATTCAATTATATGATAATCCTGAAACTTGCCAGCCAGAGGAATTTTAAAATATGAATTCCTCTACCAATTTACTTGGAGCAAAGGGTGATATTCAACTAATTTCTAAGCTTTTTGGAACAAATAACTTAATTTTTTGTTTCATTTAAAACAAACAAAACTTCTTCCTGAAATGTGTTTCTGGCAAGAGCTAAAACTTTATAACAAACACACTGGCATTTTCTAAATTTCATACCCTCTCATTGCAATATTAAAACATTCAAAAGATACAGCAGCAAATGTGATCATATTTCAGTTTTATGTTTCAGTCTCTAACATTAGTCCTAAATCTATCATTAGATAATTCTCTCTAATGATGCAGAAGAATTCTTGAGAAACACAAAATGAGCTATAGAAAGATACTAGAATAGTTTAAAAGCAGTAAAAAGAAAGTAATTTAAAGGAATTAAAATGTCAGGAGCCAAGAGAGTAATTTTGAATATCACAGTATATCGAGATGAAAAGAAACAAAGGCAAAGGAGGAGAAAAAAAAATACTCAGGGACCCAGATAAACACACCAAGTGAGCACATCAGGTGCTAATCAGCAGCTACCTACCTATATTGTAGAGAAGTAATTCTACTTAAGTAATACAATGTCAATTCTGTTGGCATTAACTTGCTCTTCAGTGAAGTACACAATGAGGGAAAAAATACACAAGTCACACTTTGAAAATTTAAAAGAAAATTGTTTAAAGATAAGCTTTCTAATCTTGTTAAGACTTAAATATTTAGAGTTTTTTCCTGGAATAGTAGTAGTAGTAGTAATAATAACAATAATATGTATTATTTCAAAGACAAATCTATTATTTTGAAAGTCTTTCAAGATTTCTACCTATTTTTGACTTAAAGAGTAGAAATAATATCATAAGTTCAATATGTACCCAATTTTAAAATTGTTTATGAGGGAATTCAAAATAGTTCTCATCTGATACCTGGGGAAAGTCCTGAAATTCAATTAGGAATAGATTAATTAATTATGTTATTTTACTAACTCCTCACAATGACTTAATACTATGGATATATTTCAAAAGTGAGAATGGGAATGAGTTTAACAAATATAACACAGCAGGCATGGAAGTTACATTCTCCTCTGTGCAGTCCCCAAACACAATTTTAAAAATGCTAAGAAAGTGTGCATGAATAAATATTGCCAGAGTCTCCAAGCTAGAGATATAACTAGGGCCATATTCTGAACTGATGTTATTCTGAAGTTCTCAAGGTCTCATTTGAGATCAGTCAACAGCTTAAAAATTCAAAAAGGCCAAAAGAGACACAACATAACTATAGAATACAAAGATATACACGTACATAAAGCTATAGACATATCATAGCTCTGTCTGTACACAAACACCTCCACTATACACTTTATGGAGGCAAAAAATAGATTCATAAGACAATGATCTCCAATTCTTTCATTACACATCAATACATTCAATTCTAAAACCTAGGTGAGAACCTTAGAAAGCATCTAATGAAAAAGTTATGGTCCATGATTACAAACCACCTGTCCTGGTTTGTAATTTACAGACACCAGCCAACCCCACAAGATGGAACTCAAAGTCTTCAAGAGCCTAACGAATAAAATAACCGCTAGATGCTAAAATGTGCACATTGTTTGGCTTTGACAAATTCCCTTTAAAGTTGTGATAGTTTCTTAAAAGGAAGTCTAGAGTTCTATGTCCTTAAAGAACATGACTGTTTTACCACAGTCCAAACAAAGAAATGAAATACTCGTAGCCTTTGAATGATACAATCTACAAAAGCTTAAAACCAAAGAAACGGATCAGTTTTGCCAAGAACATGAATTAATTAAGCATCATTAAAAGTAATATAATTTGTGTACTCTTAAGAAGGAGGTTTTCCTGGCTGGTGTGGCTCAGTGGATTGAGCACCGACCTGCAAACCAAAGGGTCACTGGTTCAATTCCCAGTTAGAGCACATGCCTGGATTGTGGGCCAGGTCCCCAGTACAGGGCACTTGAAAAGCAACCACACATTGATGTTTCTCTCCCTTTCTTTCTCCCGCCCTTCTTCTCTGTCTAAAAATAAAAAAATAAATAAAATCTTTTTTAAAAAAGTGTTCCTTTAAACGAAAAAAGGAGTTGTTTGTTTGTTTTTAAAGTGTACCCTTTGAGTTCCCTAACAGGGAAACTAAACCTACCTTTCTGGGGAATGATAAACTTTTGCATCACCAGAATCCATATGCCATATGGTGACTATATAATAAGTGTCCTATGTTCTGTATGCTGAAAATAACTCACGTAAATATGAAGTTCTATGAATTCCTGAAGTCTTTTACAATGAACAGTAGATAGACAATACTGATACTGTCGGTTCAGGGATAGAGTTCAAGTGGCCATCCAGTGCCATCCCACTAGCTATCTCCCTTCCTGTCTCCTCCACTAGATCAAAAGCTCCTCAAGGGAAGGGACGATGAATCTTTTTCCTTTACTGCAGTGCCTAGCACATTCCTGCACAGAACAAGCACTCAGGAAATACTGACCCAACGACTTTGTTCAATACATATTGGCTATTTTTATCCCCAGAGTTTTATTTACTTTAAGGCTCTCAATTTTTGCCTATACTGAATGATTACAAATATCCCCTTTATTTGTCTTTAGTAGATATGCCACGATTAGCCATTCTTTGTTTAAAATAAGGAATTTAAAAACAAGATGTTTATGTGATTCCACTCTAAGTAGTTTTATCTGGACCAATATGGGTGCAAATCAAACGTTAACCTATTTTTATTGCTTCTTTCACATAACCTAACAAATACAGGTTTGTCTTCCAATGACTGCTGGGTAAAATAAATGACTTTGAATCTTCCTTTTTTAATACTTATTATGGTAATACGTGTTCAGCATTCAGAGATTAGCAGGAATCACAAACCTAAAGTGTATAAAAAAAAAAAAAACAACCAAAAACAAACTTTATTGGCTAGGAATAAGTTTAATTAAAAAGATCATGTAATCAATAGTGATAATTAGGCCAACATCATGAACTTAATCCGCACATGCTTTACAACATGGACTGTACCCTAACCTGAGTTACTGGACTGGTATGGAATTAAATATAAGAAAACGAGAGGAGAGACTAGGGATCAACACAAATCCATCTCCGCCAAGTTTACTCAAATGGTATACACATACAATGACCAGCGATAAAAATGATGAAAGCTCATTACTAATTTTAGAAAAAGTTGACCAGCCACTCAGAAATTCTTTCAGATTCAAGATCTCTTTCCATATTCTGGCATAGCTCAGAGACATCGAAGGTATGGTTCCAGACCACCACAATGAAGCGAGTATCAAAATAAAGTGAGTCACGTGGATTTTCGGGTTCCCCAATGCATATAAAATTTATGTTTACACTATATTGTAGTCTAACAAGTGTGCAATACAGCATTATGTCTAAAAAACCATGTACATACCTTAATTAAAAATATTTTATTGCTAAGAAATGCTAACCATCATCTGAGCCTTTGGAAAATGGAGCCGATAGACTTGTTCAACACAGGGTTGCCACAAACCTTCAATTTGTAAAAAATGCAATATCTGCGAAACGCAATAAAACAAGGTATGCCTGTATTTGTGATTATATTCTATTTATAACCCCAACAATCCCCAAATATTAATAGTAAATATGGCTACATATCAGCATTCCAAAATGCTAAAACGAAGCTATGTTAATAGTTCTATATATAACTAGTATTAATAAAATCATGGTTAATCACCTAAGTTAAGGTCAAGTCACAAGACGAGAGCTGAGAGCTACATCTTTATCACTAATTTTCAAGGAGCAGTGGCCAAACTACACAGCCCTTAAGTCTCTCTTCCTGGGGGAATTTTGAGGTAGTGTGTGTGTGTATTTTAATATAAGATACAACTAAAAAAAAAACAACAACAAAACACCAAGATTATCTTCAAGACTATGTCTTTAATTAAAACTCAAACAAGCCCTGATAGGTGTGGTTGGTTGGAGCATCATCCTGTAAACCAAAAGGCTGTGTGTGTTCAATTCCCAGTCGGGGCACATATGGGATGCAACCAATCCATTTTTCTATCTTTCTCTCCCTCCTCCTTCCCATCCCTCTCTCTCTAAAATCAGTAAATATATCCTTAGCTGAGGATTTAAAAATATCAGAAAACACATATCCCTGTATATAGTGCTCTCAAATGCCGGTGTGCAACAGCAGTTTCCCCCAAAAGCTTGCTGAAGTGTAGAAGCCCAGGCCCACTGAGACAGTTTTTGCAAGTTGGAAGCAGAGTCCAAGGAGTTATGTTATAAAGCAGCACATGTTTTCATGATGTATGTGAAATTCTGGTTCAGCTTTGAAGCTTTATCATGAGCCCAACACCTTAACATGGAAAAGGAGTTTAAGTTTTGTAATTGCTATGCATGAGCCAATCTGCCTACCTTCCTAACAGACAGACAAGATATATTTGAAGATATATGAAAGGTTTACTGTTCTAAAATCCCCTGCAGGTATTTTATGTTTGAAAAGATAGGTTCAAAATGAAATCAGTATTAATAGCATAAGAAATATGTGTTCAACAGGTCCATGGAAGAAAAGGTACCTAATGCAACTGGGTCTGGGTTGACGGGACTCTGCTGTCTGGAGTGGCTGCTGCTGCTGCTGCTGCCCTTTTTTAAGTCCTCAGCATCACTATACCGCCGGATCCAATAATTCAGCTCCTCCCGGTCCGCTTCCTGACATCGCCTTAGTACAGTGAGAGATCGCCTTGTTTTCTCTACCATGTCCATTATGCAGTTTAACAGCTGTGTGATAAACAGGGGAATGGAAGAACATATCAATCACCACAACTTAAAGTCTCTGGTGGGCAGGGAAACAAACTATTTTAGGACAATGAAAGATGTTGTTTAATTCCTGAAGGCTTCAGTCTAATACTTTCAAAGGTTAGATTTGAAACTGAGATCTCATAGATAAGTAAACTTAGTGGGAAACAAGACCAAAACGTGGGAGGCATGAACATGAGTCATGACAAAGAGTATACATCATGAAGGTATACAGCCATCTTTCCAAATATTAATCCATTGCTGCCTAAACTAAGTAAACCTTTCACAAAAACTATTATTCTTTTCCATGATCTAAACATGTCCCTAACATAAATGGCTTTGGTATCAATTTAGAAATCAAATCTTATATTCTACTTCAAGTATTCTCACTCATTACTTTTTTTCAAGGTTAGAAGAAAATGTAATACCTTCAAAGTATCTCCACACTTTTATTTTATGAGGTAGCTGCACTCCAGTTGTTTTAAAAACATTTTAACCTAAACAATTACCGACATCTTACATGGTCAAGATGTTTCCATTCCTCTGCCCATTCTCTGTCTGTTAGTCTGTGATCAATCATTTCTTCTTGACGTGTGCCATGCAACCCTACAAATGTAGAGAAGAAGGCTGAATCATCCTAAGCATCAGGGCATAATTCATACGCACATAAATACCTGGCAAAGACTACATGGGCAAACTAAACAATACGAAATAATATTCAACTTTAAATGAAGACATGCAGATTTGGAATTACCTAATAGGCAGGCTGCTCAGAGAATGATAAAATGTTAGGGACCACTAGAGGTCATCTGGTCAGAACTCTTTCATTTACACATGAGGAAAGGACAAGTAAAGTGACACCAACCCCTGACCTAGTTTTCCATGTAACATTCCCTAAGTGAAAATTCTAACTCCTTGGATAAATATAAGAAACAAGAAACCACAAGTAGACATTAAGTGGTTTCAGAGTGTGATTTTCCTACATTAAAAAGAAAGACAGCCTAAATCATTCTACATGCTTTTCTGAAAAGAGCATGGTAAAATTTTTCCACATTTCAGTATAGTGTACTGAATCCTATTATATGTACACAATCCTATTATATCTACTTCCATGATAAGCTTAGGTCATGAAGAGAGGACTTACATAATATGAAAGCTGCATATACCCACTCAATTTACCAAAATATAAAAAATAGAAATAAATCAAATATGCTCTATGAAAAAAATCAATATACCAGATAAAATTTTGGACAAGTATCACAAATTCAAACTGAGAAATTAAAAAGCCTAATTTGTAGTCCATAGCATAGCATAAGGATATTTGCTCTTCAGTATCACAGTGAAGATGCTACCATAAAAAACTAACAAATAAATGCTTACCAAGTTAGGAACAATAGAAATAAACATGAGAAGTTATTGAGGAGGCTCATCAAAATAGAAAACAAATGTATCTCAACAATATCTCATGGAAACAAACTAGGTGTCCATCAACAGATAAAGATCACACACACACACACACACACACACAATGAAATACTACACAGCAATAAAAAAAATGAATTTTTGCCATTTGCCACAACATGGATGGATCTAGAGGTATTATGCTATGAAAACAAGTCAGACAGAGAGAGGCAAATACCGTAAGATTTCACTTATATGTGGAATCTAAAACTAAAACAAAACAAAACAAAACAAAAAAAAAAAACAGACTCTGAAACAGAGACCAAAGGGATGATTACCAGAGGGGAGAACGTAGGGGGAATGGGTGAAATGTTGAGGAGGAATATAGTTAATAATATTGTGAATAGTTTGTACAGTGACAGATGATTACTAAAATTAGTGGAGTGGTCACACTGTAAGGTATAAAAATGTCAAGTCATTATATTGTGCACCTGAAACTAATATAACCAACAGAAAATTGTATACCAACTATACTTAAATTTAAAAATTTAATTAAAATAAATAAGTGCCAAAACAACTTGTTAAAACATAAATAACTTGAAACAATTAAACTAGATTACACGATAATTTTTTATTTGCATTATATATTAAAAATTCAGTGAACAATTAAAAAAAGGATACAATAGAAGGCCCTGAGATAGCTGGACATGGGTTACTCTTCTTACAAAGTCATTATTCATAAAATACCTTAGGTTCTACTATAAAGGAAAGGCATTAGGCTATGGCAGTTTCCATTTTAAAAAATTAAAACTATTATTTTTGGTTTAGACCAGTGGTTTTTCAACCTTTGTCATCTCATGGCACACATAAACTAATTACTAAAATTCTGTGGCACCCTAAAAAATAATTTTTGCCAATCTGACAAAAAAGGATTGCAGTTTTGGTTTATTCACACTGGACAGCTATTGTTGTATTGGCTGTTGTCATTTTGTTATTTGGCAGTCTAAGGGAAAGGAAGTCAGTGTCCCTGACTACAGGTTTTAAAAATTCTTGCAACACACCAATACAGCACACTGGAGGGATTGAACAGAAGGGAAAAAGGACTCATGGACATGGACAACCGTGTGGTGATTGCTGGGTAGGGGGAGGTATAAGGGGATTAGATGGCAATGGAAAATATATAATAAAGACTGATTTTTTTTTTTTAAAAAAAAAAAGAGAAAATACTGGTTTAAATATTCTGAATAGCAAATTCAAAATGGTTTGGGCTTCTGGACACCCAGGGTCTTCTCGGAGGGTATCATGTAAGAGTTAAATGACAACAGTTATGAGACACTGCATCACTGCACTGTACTTTCTGGAAATTTAAGTAAAAATCCCTTCTTTTAGTTTATTTGGAAAAATAAAGATGATGAGTCACATGTCTGTTTTCAACCAACCATAAAATATGAACAAATATCAACCATGAAAAATGAACAAATAAATGCTTTTCTTCAGACTAACTAAAAAGCTAAATATAAAACACTCTGCATCATTCCTGTCCAACGAGAACATATTTGATACACATTTAAAAGTTAAAATTGTCAATGCCACCTATTGGTAAAAATGTAGAATTGCAAATATGTTTAATAACTCGCATAATAGAAGACATTGGGGAAAAGCACTATTTAGTTATTGCTGTTTGTTGTGACTATTTCAATTTGAAATGTTTGCAAATATGTAATTTTTTGTTGACTTATTTGTTGCTTATGTTTTAAAGAAAAAGCACTATCACTGAAATGAGTCGTCACAGAAGACAACTGGAGAGCAGTGAAGGTATAAAACTCAGGACTGACTTTCACGATGGAGGCCTTTAAGAACTAAGAACCCCAGAGATTTCAAAAGTTTCCAAATTCATCTGAATAAATCAATAATGATACAAGTGCTAACATATGGAATAGTATTAAAATGAAATGGGATGTCTGTGGCTAGTAGAATTCCAACATTTGTCGAATAATATAAAGCTTCATCTCACTTAAAAAAAATAACAATTACATTAGAAATATGTTTGAGCCCAAGTAGTTGGTGAAAAAAAAAGATATAGGACTCTGATGCCTTTGAACTCTGAATCAAATCTTTAAAAAGAAAAAATAAAGCAACTCAAAACTTGACATTTATTAATTTATCTATTTCAGATAGTTATTCACCCCCACACAATTTTTACTTATATTTATAATACCAGGGGTATATACTAGGAGAAAGTTGCTCATAAGCATTAAACAGCACATTTTCATCTGTGGAAAGTTTGACATTTATGTTGAGCCTTAAGTGGTTCTTATGCTTTAGAAGATTTTAGCTAACTAGGTTAAACTCTAATTTTATGTATAAACTAATGCTTCTTGTAAAGCTATTTTGTTAAAGGAGTCTAGTGAGTATAGGTCTCTCCATACAATAGGCATTTATAAATCATACCAGACTAAGTATATCTTTATGACAATTTTTATATTTTTAAAATGGCAGTCTTGTGTAACACCATAATTTGTCCATACATCAAGATTTTATTTTATATTAACACACACTGAACTGTGCCAGATTTAGAGATGATTAAATAGTTGCACATATTTATAGAGATTAGCACTATTAGGTTTACAAGCTAATATAATTAAAAGGTAAGGAACATGGTCTGAAAAAAAATCACATAAAACCAGCAGATATAATTCATAAAGGGATTTTTACATTACTAAATGAAAACATAATCATTGCAAATAAGCATAATTACTTCCTAGACGATTACTTTATAGTGCACTAAAACTAGTATTTCATAAAACAGCACTTGCCACCTAAGAAATAGGCCATTTCCTAGCACCTACACAGTAGGATATCTTGAATTGGTCTTACAATGACCTGGTGACTCCACTTCTACTTGAAAATGAGCCATCAAATGTTTGGGACATTGAGTTATAAACAAATGGCAAGGCTTTTGCTTGGAAGAGTGTCATTATCATGTTTGATATGGAGTCAGAATATCAACCCAGTCTGAGAAATAACATAACCACTTTTGAGAACTTTTCAGAAATGGTACTGAGAGAACGTGAGACAGACTGGCTATTAAGAACACACAAATCACATGCTTAGCTATTTCTCTGACACAGTCTACAAATGTAGAAATGACTACTGTGGGAAAACAGAACTACTATTTTGCTGTCTCACTCACTGGTCCTTAATTACACCTCACCTTACCCTACAGACTCTCCCTTTCTGCTCTCTAAATATTTAGAGGGTTGTATGTAGAAAGGCAAAAAGGCCTTATATATTGCAGCCTCTATTTGCTCATAACCTATTTAGAAACCTCCTGGAGACTGCTGCTCACCATGGTACCTCTGCCTGTGGCCAAACAACACTGTCCCTACTATTCAGGCATTGAATAACTGGCTGGCTACACTTCCCAGAGTTCTGCCTCCTCAGTTCTATGTTCTGGTTTTGCACTTGGACTTTATCCCTTACTGTTTCCAGGATCCTTGCCCAACAAGTCACCCATGTCAGGAAAATTTGTCCGCAACTAGCTACAAGGTAAAGGGAAGTCCTGTTGGCCGGTGGCATGGACACAGAAGATAGAAATAGAGAGGACTGACTATTGCGCTCAGTCAGTTTGTAAACAGCTTGACTCACCAAAAGTTAAGAATTGAAGGAGCTCCAGGAACAGTGCTCTGACACCTTCACCTCAACCATTGATCATGTATCAAAACCTACCTTGTTCATCTTCCCTTTCATTTTTCATGGTGTTCGCTTGTTCTTTAAAAGGAAATGCCCTCTAAATACTTCATTTCCAATAGTTTTACGCAAAGAAAGAATGAATACAGGCAAATGGAACACATATTTTTATAAACTCATTCCTTTTCTTGAATTCTAGTCTTTGACACAAAACTTCAATACTAAATTTTATCACTGATGGTTTCACGTTAAAAAAAAAAAAAAGTACCAAATCATTGCTTAAAGAACATTTGTTAAGCCACAGACATGCTATATATTTTTCAAATATGCAATACCATGAAGACTGGAAAAATTAAAATGAGGTTTAAGTCTATCTGAAATAAAAGATACCATAAGAGAAATTGATTTTTAAAAATATTTGTGGAAAGTAGATTGCAATTGAAATCTCTCATATTAAAAAAAAAAGTCAAACTAAAAATTCACTTCCCATTTAGTTGAGGGTTTTGGATATCCCCTTCCAAAAAGTTAACCTGCTGTCATAAGAATACAAGTAATTAAGAGAAAGGAAGCACGGCTATTAAAGAACATATTAATACTAATCAAGTTTTATCATAAAGGAGACAATATAAAGAAAGAAAAGAGAATTTTTCCCCCATCACAAATTTCAAGCCTCAAGTTCAGTTGAGAAGTAATGATGCAAGTTTTCAAGCATCCAATCCCATAAGAAGTGAACAGATCCTTCAGTCTTACCCATAGGTCTGTTTCTGTCCCTGAGGTCCCTGTGGCTGGGGTGTCGATAGGAGTCCCTGTAGTGGTGGGCAATGGCCATATCATCCAAACGGTAATGCTGAGGTGGAGGTGGGGTGGGGTGAGGCAGGCCATTGGGCTGGTAGGATAAGCCGTTATTTGGACTGTACCGCTGGCCTGGGCTAATAGTGCATGGTCGCTTGCTTGGATGTTCTGAGTGCAAAGGCTCTCTGTCAAAGCCATTTTCTTTGGTTCTGAGGAGGAGGGGGGGGAGAAAAAGAGTTTGTTTCGCAATGTACTCAGAAACCAGCATAATTCAGACACTCACATTTGAACTTGTAATATAAACAGAATATTCCTTTTCTGGCCAGAAACTTTGTAAACTCAGCTTCCCAGAGGACCTATGGGGATTCACTGAAACCCATGCTGAAGACTAAATGATCACAGAACTGTGCACAGGAGAAAATGGTTCAGTTCTCAAATATTTTTCAGCAAATATCTTTTCAGTTGAGGCTTGTATGTTTAGGTCATGAATAAAAGGAAACCCAATCTCACTCTGTTGATAACACTGTCATTCAAAGGAGAGTACTGGATATCTAACAAATTGCCATAAGACCAACTGTATTTGGTGGAGATTTGAGTTAGAACATATTTCCCTTGATGAATTCTTAAGGTATACCTATTCTATTCATCCAACATGGCATCTGACTTTCATGTTGGAGAACATTTAAGAGCTTGTTGTCCAATACAGTAGCCACATGTGTCTATTTGAATGTAAATATAAATCAATTAAAATTAAATAAAGTTTAAAATTCAGTTCTTAGTAGCAGTAGCCACACTTCTGGTGCTCAAATGCTACCTGGGGCTAGTGGCTGTAGTAGTGGACTGTGGAGATACAGAAAGTTCTATTAAAAAGTGCTGATCAAATGAGCTAATACAATAAAGCAATGCAATGTCTGGGATTCTGACATCACCTTGAGTCACCAAGATATCAATAAGCAGTCATACAAAGGTAAGCAGTCATACAAAGGTAGGTGGAACTAAACGAGAATCTAGGTGAACCCCCTTACTTTAAAGTTGAGAAAACACATGCCCAGAGAACATGTGAGGCCTCTTTGGGGCCATCAGGTCTCAGGGCAGGGCGGCATACCCTGACAGCACTTGATCACGTGGTACACAAAACTCTGAACCTGGCTTTCAAAAGGAATACTTCATATAAATGAGACCTGATAACTAATCATTGCTCCTATAATTGAAAAAGGAGGTGAAGCTAAATAAACATTTTCTGGCTGAATAAATCTCTTTTTAAGGACTAACTTATATACTCAGTAACATAGGAGCAAACCACATCCAACTGTGACTGGAATCACAGCTCCCAAATCAATTTTTTACGAAGTAGCTGGCTCTCCCCACAAGTCCAGCATTCCATCATTAGACCAACAATAACATCTATTTTCCGTGCAAAATTTCCCCATAAGAATTCTACCAAGTCAGAGCAGCTGCAGATTTCTGCATGCCTTTGTTTTTAGTTTAGGTTGGTAACAATAGCACAGAGGCCTTAAGACGTTTTCCCTACTTTCCTGGCTTCCAGGATAGTCTTTGTCTGAAAACACTAGAGTAGCAGCTGACTCAACAGCAGAGATCATCAGGGTCACAGGATTCTACAATGAGCCATACTTCATACTCAGAAGGGTAGGTCCCCAGTGAAAACTTAACGCACAACAGACTGAGAAAGGTAAGGACTTAGAGACAGAAGGTACAAAACGCAAAGAACTGAGGGAAACTGCAGAGCTCCGTGTGAAATCATACATGCCCACTACATCCTGAAGAAAGATGCAATGTCTTGGAGACAGCAGACTGGCCAATATTGGAAACGACAGCAGGGCATGGACCCTGCGGGACTGTAGCCAGAAGTCTCAATGCTGCTCCCATCAAAGTATACGTCTGTACTAAAACATCATTCATATCCGACAAAAGTGTCCACGATAGCTCAGACATTACCTAAATGCATTGCTTTAAAATATTTTTTTAAAGTGAAAGAAAACATTCTAGATATTGATTTATCTTCTAAGAGTATATCCATGTGATTACAATCTGTTTTTCCATATCCTATACATTTCTGAACAATACACTTCAACATTCAGTGCATATTACCAGCATAAATAGGTTGGAAAATACTGAAGACTATTAGTAGCTATGAACATAATGCTAACACAGCACCTACCTTACTGGCAGTGTGGTGTAGTGGAAAGAGCTCTGGACTGGGAATCATGAGACCTGAGATCTAGTCCTGGCTCTTCCACGACTAGCTGTGTGACCTTGGGCAAGCCACTTAACCTCTCTGGACCTCAGTTTGCTCATCTGTAAAATGAAAGGGTTGGACTAGGTCAGTGGTTTTCAAACTGTGCCACATGAGGCATGTAAGGGAATCTTGCAGGCAATGAAGAAATTTTCCCCCAAACAATCAAGATTTAAAGGGCCAGAGGAACCCACTTAATATTATCTATTTTTATAAATTTGGGTTCCACCTAAGGTTTCATTTTAAAGATAAATGTCTGCTGCTAAAATCAAGTTTGAAAACCACTGGACTAGATAAGTTCTGAGGTCCCTTTTAGTTTGAAAACTCTGTAATTCAATTTTCCTATATTTACATCTAAATGTCATGCAGATGAAAACACACAGAGCTGATGGTCCTCTGGCCAAACTGTGTCTATGTCAACCACTTTAGTCAACAGAGAACTTCTCTGTTCTTCGCTTTGAACAATTTATTATTTCTAGCTAATTCTTTGTGCAAAAATAGAAAATATCCCCTAAATACCTTAGAGCAGCCGCTGTTGCATTTCTAAATATAGAAACATTTTTGGCTCAGTTGTGTGAAAACACCTCAACTTTCTGGTTTTGTCTACTCTTGTTCAAAGATAACAACATACAATATTGGAAGATTTCTTACGATTTTCACAGTGTAATTTATCTTTACCCTCAGATCAGCCATCTGGTTAGTATTATTACTTCAAGGACCTACTACTATGAAAAAAGACTTTTTCCCTCCCAAACCAAACAGTGATATCTTAAGCAGGGTTAAGTCCTGAGCCTGTCCTATCATTTCTGTCAGGTCCCCGCTGTCCTATCCAGGGTCCCATTACTCAGCTAGCTATGGGAACAGCAAAGCTCATCACCTCACAGAGATAGTTATATTTTAATAGCAAAACATTTAAACATTCACGACCCACAAAAATAAGTCCTCACTGGTCCTTCCTTGAATCACTCATACCTGCTATAAGGTCAACCCTATTCAAAGGATGTATGTATCTAAGACAACTTAATTGCCATTTGTCTCTCTGTTTCTTAGAAATGCCTGCAACTATCCATACCTCACACGCCTGGGCAAATTCCAACTCTGCACGTTTATTTGTTGCCCTTTCAAAGTGTATTAGGCAAAACTAACAAATATTAGTCAATGTCTTATACCAGCATACTTCTGAAATAACTCAAATTCTAGTATGGGGTTTGTTATGTCTCATGAAGGCATAGACCTCAAGAAGGCATTGTTGTTTGTTTTTTAAATCAACCTGATGATATTTTATTTCCCTACCAGGCAGGAAAAATTTCCCTGAACAACGTCTGACCACCTCAATATAGAGATCCTGACCACTTCTCTCTCGGGGGGTGGTGGTCCTAAACGTAGAGGACCATGGAGGACTCCGTTGTGTCACATCACCTTGAGGTAACCGGGCAAAGTTAGCGTTCGGGATTCAGTTTCCTGCCAAGTAAATGGGACTGGAAGGAAACAAGCCATGTTTAAAAAAAAAAAAAGAAAGAAAAGAAAGAAAAAGAAAACCTTAAAAGACAACCTAATTTATACTTTAATCCATTTCAAGCCATTTTTTCACCAGTTCCTCAAAAACAGACTGTAAACTATTTAAGAAAGAAAATAAACATTAAAAAAAAACTTGCCTCTATAATAAAATATTTTAAATGTCATAATTAACTGGTGTGCACTGAAAACCCCTTAGTAACATTTGTATAAAACAGTATAACATTCAATAAATGAGGAAGAATGAAAAAAAATTATTATAAGGTCATGACAATAAATAGTGTAACAGGGGTAACCAATCTCCTGTATGACAGGAACAGGCATAAATTCTTTTTCTAGATTAAAATGTTCTTTTTTTTAAGTGTGGGGGATGGGACTATCACTACAAAGACTGTTCTAGAGGAGGTCAACTGATACAGCATAATAAACCTGAGAAAAGCATGGAAGAAACTTCAAAATTCCAATCTTAGTCCTGTTACAAAGAAGTAAGTGCCTTAGGTGCTCACTTCCCCAAGTTACATGGGCATTTCAAACAGAATGTATCCAAACTGCCCCCCTCTTCCTCTGGTACTTCCTGCACCAGTCCATTATGCCACCTTCTACTGAGTCACCCAAGCAGAAACTTGGAAGTCATGCAAAAACTTTCTTCTCCAAATCAAGTCCTACTGTTGCGCCTCTAGCGTACGTCCCTCTGCCCAGCCCCAGGGTCTCCTTATCTTGGCACAATCACCTCTATGTCCGATTCTGCCTGGATCTCAGCCAGGGCAATGACTAAGATGCTAGTAGTGTGTCGAAATTTTTAAAAACTTTTTAAATTTTTTTTTTGGTAATTTAGACGTCTATATCTAAAAGACATAAATCATGAGGTAACATTTCTATTTTTTAAGAGCCCAAAAACATTGGTAACAATATTAAACATATCTTCCTTGTTTTTTGCTTATACATGCGATTTGTTAAGATTTTCATAGAAGCAGAAACTGAATCAAAAGGGAGGGTGTTAAGCATCCTTGTCACAGTTTCAAAACAATTCAGTGAAAGTTCTATTCATGAAGTTTTAAAAACAAGGTGAATTTAGGCAAAAATTTTACAAAATACCCTTCTATTGGTACTGAATAATGTATCTGAAACAAAATATATTAAATATATTATAAAAAATTTTATAAATATATGACAAATTCCCCTGCCTCCTTAAAAAGAATATCAAACCTAATACTTCATGACAACCCATGGTGGTTTCTGTGTTTTGCTGTCACCTTAGAGGGAGCGGGATATTTGGACGGGGAAGAACAGAGAGCTGAATGACAAGGACCATCACTACTGGGCCATATGGGAAAAGCACCTCCAGTCTCTCCATGGCTAAACCACCACCTAGGATATCACTTCCCAAGTGGCATGCTACTACCTTCAAGAGTAAATGAAATGATAGTGGACATTGGCCAC